AATATTTTATGTTTATTAATTAGCAAATATAAGTGTATTTTAGTGTTAATATTTGAAGCTGATTCTGGGCTTAATACCCTCTATCTCAAAACTTGACTGTAAATAGCTCTTAACGTAGATTAAATATAAATCATATTAATATTATAAATACGAAAGTTTAGATTGATGTATGTTAGATTTTATAGCCTAAACCGCTGAACGGATTTCGATGACATTTCTTATTGATTTAGAGGATAGTCTGGAAGAACACATAGGCTACTTTATTTTAATTCCACGCAACCGATTCGCGGGACAAAGCTAATAATATATTTGAGAGCAGGGTGAATCGGCACTTATCGAACTAGCGCGCTCTATCCTTCGGCCGCGTCTTCACTTAGGTTAGGTGGAGTCGTGGTCAAGCGCTGGTTTATTTATGTTAAAAAAAATGTACACTTAACTTACTGAGTCTTGTATTGGTAACTAGAAGCCCGTTATAGTAATTTCTTACTCAACTAGGGACTAACTTAATAAGTTATTACTTACGTGTTAAGTATCCTGTTAGAGCCCTTGACATCTATCTCTCGTAGCACCGCGCCTGACAGCGGCACCTCCACGGTAGTGTCTCCCACTCCCACTATCAGAATGGTACCGCCCTTTTTTGTCACCTGTCGATAAAATATTAGATTTTTATCTATATTCAGCATTGTCTTTTGTAAGGGAAGATGACCGCTAGATAGTACAGGTACAAAAACAACTAAAGAAATGCTTTATAATATGAAATAAACTAAAGGATGCACAAAATTACCGCTAATTTTTAGATTTAATTTAATTTAAACCCTTAAAAGCACGATTTTTTTCGATTTAAATACCATAAATTGAAAGTTACCAAAAATTAAGTTCCCTTAATAAAAAAAATGATTTTTCAATATAGTCTATTACGTAAGGAAGAAAAGACTGATGTATAAATGCATCATCCTGCAATGGGTTAAACGCTAACAATGATGTAAAAATGAGATATACTAGCGTACTTACCAGCATAGAAACACGTTGTGCTGAAGGAAATGCGCACGCGTCTATAGTAATCCGAGGTCTGCCGCCGAGAGCTGCCCTGATCTTCTCCACGACCTCTTCATCGGAGTATTCTTTTTTAATAAGAAGCGTGTAGTCCGCAGCTAATTGCTTTGCTATATCCAATCTAGATTGCACTACATCTGAAATAATATAGAGATATGTGATTTTAAGAGGAAGTTGCGAAAATTTCTGTCCGTTAGTTCATCGGTTGGCGATGCCCATGTGTTTAATATTGTGACAGAGACAGCGCTCTACAGAAGTAG